ACGTCCGCATGGCAAACGAAACAACGTAATGAAAATCGGAACACTAAATAATAAGCTGAGTGCGCGCGGCAGACTGGGAGAGCATGAGTGAAGAGAGAGAAGAGAGAGAGAAAGACAACGTTAAAGCGTAAAGACAGAGCGAAGAGTCGATGTGGACGTCGAAGAGCTCAAAGCAGCAGACAAAAGCAACAACTACAACAAAAACAAGTACCGCTAAGCTGCGCTAGTCATTTAGTTGACTTGGTGAGAAAGCTAGCAACAATCTCTTGTTTATCTTTATCTCCATTACGGTATCTATTACGAGTGCGATTGAGTCTCGTTTGCGACGCATTTTTGAGTGTGTTTATTTGAGGTTATGTTTGGACTCAACTCTCGAGCTAGTTAAATGCGACAACAAAAACAAAAAACACAAACAAACCATTCAACAAATCAGTTGGTATTGTACTAGGCCATTTAAATGCAAATAAGTTAATGAATATTTATTAAATTGTGCAATAAAAATAAACAAAAGTAAAGCAAGCAGATGAAATATAATTCAATTATAATATTGTTTATTAACTTTTTTCGATGTTAAAAGTTATATCGCAGTTTGTTTCCCATTCGCTTTACCATTGGCCCAGTTCTAGTCAGCAATTTAACTTTGGTTTAGCTGAAAACAGAAACCGTTAACTGCTGTCAAAATTGGAGCAAATGCGAGGTCAAATTTATTATATACGATATTGTTATTAAACCACATTCTGCAAACGCCTGCATTTTCACTTTTAAGCGCAATTCTTGTTTATTTAATTGGTGTCAATGATTTATAGAGATAGACATACATACACATATATATTTATTTCTAGAGAATACGAGAAATGGAGCAATCAGATGACTCAAAAATATACTCAAAACAAACGTTAGGAAATCTACCGCCTGATGTAAGATTTTATTGTAAGCTCAATTTTTAGCATTAATTAACATTCATATAAATGTGTAAGCTAAGTTTAAAAATTGTAACGAATTTTATAGTATAATATATAATAATAATATATAAAATAATTTATAATATTATTATATAAAATTTGTGTTAAATAAAATTTCACGAACAATTTTGAAAATACGAAATATGCTATTTGTAAAGGTTGCTTGCTTTGGGTTTCACCCAGATGTGTTTGAGCTTTAAGTTTTATTTGAAAAATATGAATGGCATTTCCGGATATGCAATGGTTGCAAGTAAATACCCCGTAGATTTCTTGACACATTATTATATATTTTATAGTGTTGACAAATCTATTTTTAGAGCAAAGCCAGGTTGGCGGTTTGTCTTTCAGCTGGGCTCAATTGCAAATGACCTGAAAAACGAAGCCCACATGGTGACTAGATTCGAGTTAGGGTCCCACACAAAGGTTGAATGTATTATGATCTTTGCCGTATACGCGACCAAAGAAATGTCTAAAATACAATTTTACAGTAATTTGTGTGACACGCAAAAGATAGAAAGTGGGTGGCTCGCAAGTGTGTAGGTTGGTGTACACTCTGTATGTGAGTGGGGATTAAAAGTGTTTGTCGGCAACATAGCTTGAACCTAATTATGTATAATACATGATATAAAAAAACCTACGATAAAGTATGATATAAGAAAACCTACGATAAAGTATGATATAAGAAAACCTACGATAAATCGTAAAAGTAATGTGTACAATATATGATGAATATAAACATATCCCAAGCAGGCTAAAAATACAACATATTTCCTAGAATTGTTATTAAATAAAGACTTTTGACCCACTCAGAGAAAAGTTTCCATTGTAGTTAGCAACACTATATTTAATTTTTATCGCCTGTGCTCATTATTTGATTAGCATTTGCAAAGGTAATTGATGGGAGTGATGATTGTTTTGTAGGATTTCTGACGCACTTTGTTACTCACGCTGTAAACGTGATTGGTTTTATTTTTAATATATGCTAATGATAAATTAGGCTCAATGATAATTACCATAATTTGTTGCGAGCGCAAGCTAAGGAACTTTACTGCAGCTCATATAATTAGAATCGCCTAGCAGGGTATACAGTATAGAAACAAAACCAGAAAATATTTATTCTCTTCCACTTCCTAGTCAGTTGTGTCTTACGTCTAATGCTTGCCGGCCAATTGCAGCCATATAGTAAATATTAGCTTGGTAAACACTGAGAGCGTCGTCTGTGTGCAACGAAAACTTGAAGCCAACATCTTTCATTTCTCATTTCAGATAGTTTCCCACTCACACGCATCTACATCCTGCTTTTCTTTGATTTCTGATTAGTATCCCTTTCCAATCAGACACTCACAGACATGCCTAGAGTGTGAGAATTGCAAAGGAAGGCGCATGTGTGACAAGCGTTTAACCAAATACAACTTAACCTTATTCAGATAGAAATCAATTTAAAGTCAGTTAATTTCTCGTTCACTCGCATCTACATCCTCATCTCTCTCACATTCTCTTCGGCGGCATGTAACTGTTTAAATGGGTCATAACAAGCCGCCCATTAGCCATATAACTAACATATACATTGTAAATAGGTTTGAGTGGCCATTTCGAAAATGCATTTTAATTTAATGCCCAACCGCAGAGCCTCTATCATGACTTAATCGAATTTCCACCTAGTCACTTTTGCTAACTTGTGACTGAGGCCAGCCAGCAGCGAGTTTTTCCGCGTCACCTCTTGAAGTCGAGCTCTTGCACTTGGAAATGCAACACACCATCACACACGCAGACACACACACCCATACACACATACGCAGATCAGAGGGCTCGCGTCATTATGGCAGACGACGTCACAGAAGGTGCATGAGTAATGAAATTCGTTTTTTATTTACTTAATTAATTTAAAGTCGCTTAGTTATAAGTTCAAGAAGCTAATTGTTGAATTAATGATGCTAAACTAAGTGAATTTTATATATAAAAAAGCGTTTTGCAATCATCTTTTTATATCAAAAACATATATATTTAACATTAGATTATTTAGTCTTCATTTTAAAAATCCTTTTTGTATTGAGATAATATATTTTATAATTATATAAACTATTGAAACACTTCAAAAATTATATATATATATTCAAATATATTAATCAAACTCTTTTAGAATATGAAGTACATGTATGTTAAATAATTATTTATCCTACAATTAATATTTATTTAATTTAGATTATAGATATAGATATAAATATAGATATAGATGATATAAAGTTTTAAAGCTTTCATAAATAAGTTTGTTATAATATTTACTTTTCAAAAATTAAAAAATTTAAGATATTTTTACAATTTTGAAAATTGATTTTTATTCCTAATAATTATTATTTTAAAGGTTGACTCGACTTTAAAAACTTAATATCATAAGTATATATAAATATATATTATATATTAAAATTTAAAGTAAATTTTTAATTTTAATAATCCAAAACTTCAAATTTTAAGAGTATATATTTAATTTTACACAGTATATAAAAAATATTCCAAATTTTCAATCTTCGAAAATAGATTTTTTATTCTAAATTTATTAATGCAACCATTATCGGAATTTTCAATACAAAAAATTAATTTTATATATAATATAATATAATAATATTTTATATAATAATATTTTATATTTTTTATATATAAACTTAAGGTAAATTTCTAATGCTTATATTTTTAAACATTTTCAAATTAACAATTCACATAATTGTACAGTGTATATACGAAGCGACTAGACCAAATCATATTTTTGCCAGTTGTCTTTGTTTTAACTAAATGGAAATTGATTATTATGCGTAGTGGACCATAAACGTGGTGAGGCTTAAAAGTCAGAGCGATGACAATGCACATATCATTGCATGGAATGCGACCTTCGGGATTGTCCAAATAGTTTTCGAACAGTCGAAGGTCTCGCTCTGTAAGTCAACACAGAGTAGATTAATTGAAATTGATGACAGATTCAAGATATCTCAATGCGGCACAGAAAACAATTGAATTTGAATTTGAATTTGAATTTTGAACTTTGAATTTTGGTATGTAAAGACAAGATGTGGCAACGCCATTGGCTGGACTTGGGGCGCCAGATGGCAACCCTGGCAACGTTGACAAATTTGAAACTCAGCATGCGCCAAAAGTTTTTGTAACGTTGAGATATGAGTACTATATCAAACAAAAAGTCGTAGGCAAACAAAATTTCTTTTGGCCGCGTCTCGTATAATTTGTATGTTCTCTTTTCTCGTGCCGCTGAAAACGCATGCGCTGACAGCAACAACGGCAACAAGAGCAACAGCAACAGCAACAGCAACAACAGCACGAACAAGAACAAGAACAATAACAATAACAATAACAACAGCACGAAAAGTATATTTCATTCAATAGGAAAACCCCCACCGACGGTGGTGGAAAAATCAGGCAAAGGGAACGCAAAACGGAAACGACGGGCACTGCGCAAACTGCGCAAGCCACGAGTCAACGAGCCAAAAGAAAAAAGAAAACCAAGAGAAAAAAGCGAAAACAACAACAACAATTGTGTGGAAGGGTGTATTCCGTGTGTTGTTGTACAAAAACTCACCACCGGGGCGCAAAAAGAGGGTGGGAGTTGCCCTCACTCAGTGAGCGTACGCGTGTGTTGGTGTTGGTGTACAATTTTGTCTCCGCGTGTGTACGTGTGTGTGTGTGTGCGCGCAGCCGCCAGCCCCCGTGAATTTGCTTGGTGAAATTTTTTCGCTGCTGGCGGCCCGGTTTTGCGGCCCAGCAGCAGTTGCCCAGTCGCCCAGTTGCCTGTCGCCAGTCGCTCTAGTCGCATTTCGAGCTGTGCTGCTCAAGCGCCAAAAAAGAAAAACAAAAAAAAAAAACAAATAAAACTAAAGCAACGAGCTATAACAACAACAACAAGAAACACGCGTCTTCTACAACATTCCCACGATCCCCCGCAGAACTGGGCAGGGCGCTGTTATTTTTTAAAATTCTCAAACGTGTGTCGCGTGTGAAATCTGTGTGTGTCTCTCCCTCTCTATCTCTGTCACTCTGTTTCTCTGTCTCTCTCTCTCTTGCTCTTGTTTTTGAGTAACAACAACAACAACAACAACAGAAAATAGAGGCTGTAAGAAACAAGTGAATGCTCCTTCGACACCACCAACACCAACAACCAGTCGATTCATCAAACGTTTTGTTCCATTCAGTTCAGCTCAGCTCAGCTCAGTTCAGCGCCAGGCAGCAGGCAGCAGGCAGCATCCAGCACTGACGATTCCAACCTCACTTTTGTGCCGGTATGTACAACGTCCCTAGCCCCTTGCCCCTTGCCACTCTACCCCCGCCCACAACCTCACCGCTCTTCCCCCACTGAAATCGTATATGGTATTTATAGTGTTTAATTATGAAGAAGTGCCCAGTTTGTTGTCAAATATGTTGCCAGCTAAAGCTTACAGCAGGCATTTATTTTTAGAGCCTCGAGACACCTTTGCAGCACGCCCCATACACTCACACGCACACACACACAGACTGTCTCTCATAGAGACACGCGAAAAGAGCGAGTGTGAATGAGTTTTGGGGGGTAGCGCATGAGTTTTCTTACTGAAGCAATCGGAATGTATGTCGCTGGGTTTATTATCTCATCGCTATTGGAAACGGCGGCGGTCGTAAAAAATTTAGCGCAAAATCTGTCATTTCCGTTGCTTGCTTCCGCAAACAGCAGCCAGGGAGCGAAAGTCAGAGAGCGAGAGAGAGAGCGTCAAAGAGAATGAGCGCAAATTATGAATAAGAAGAGCAACAATAGTAGCAGCAGCAGCAGCAGCTTCTTCAGCCAGCACAGTGTTGCCGTGCACCGCATTTTATGGGCAACGGCAAAAAGTATGTGACACAAAAATAAAACCTGAAAAATCCAATTATTTGTAACTATTTGAAAGAAGCGCGCTGAATGGAACTTTTTGGTTTACATATATTCAAAAACCAAAAAATAACACTTAATGCTTCAATTAGCTTATCTGCTGCGATTAGATATGTCTATGAGATAGTGAATCAATCAATAGATATCACATGAGTCAATATATTATATAACACTGACAATTTACTGTTTTTTTTTTTGGGTAGCCACCCTTGCGGCGCGCACAAAAGCCGGCAGCGAAAGGCAAATTGGGAGCAGTCAAAAAAGGCAGTAGAAAATTAGTAGTAAATGGGCACAGCTGCGCGAGAGCGACTCTGCGTGGGGGTGTGTGTGTTGTGTGTGTCTGTCTGTGTATGTGTATTGGCATGTGCTAGTGTTGGTGAGAGCAGGCGCGTGAAAAATCTTACAAAGCAAAGGAGCAATACAAAAAGAAAAAACAGGCATTTTCCCAATTGATTTTCAAGGCGGCCGACGTGGTGCAAAAAAAAACTACTACTAAAATATATATGGAATAATATATAAGTGCTGCAGTGCCATAATTAAGAATTTATTGGGAACTTAAAGTTAAGAAAAGCCCGAGAAAATATACAAAAATATTTGCGAGTTATTTAGGAAGTGTTACGTGTGAAAATGTGTGCGAAAATGCGTGAAAAATGCTTGCCAAGCCTTGAGAGCAGCAGCAACGGTAGCGGCAGCAGCAGCGACAGCGACTCATAGCCTATTGCATAAAGATGTGTGTGAGTACGTGTGTGTAGAGTAGCGTCTTCCAGCCACCCGATCCAACCTGCCCTATCACGTCGACCCCAGCAACTCAGCTCGCCGACCGCATGACATCCCAAAAAGTATGCTACACAAATTTGAACGCAATGAGAGCTGCGATTGCTCTTATTGATTTGTGTGTGTTGCTTGGTGTTAGTGTTGTTATTTGTTCTTAGTATTGGAGTTAGCTGCTGTTGTCATTGTTGTTGTTGAACATTAAATTGCAATCGGTTTCATCAGCAGCAGCAGCAGCAGCAGCAGCAGCAACGACAGCGGCAGCAGCGAGGCGATAACATTTCAAGTGCATTATGTCATTTTTCTCGTTTTGTTGTCCACCTGCCTGTGCCGCAAAGTATGTGTGTCTGTATATATATCCATATGTATATGAGTGTGTGTGGGCTATGAGTGTTTGCCATTTTGCCAGTCGAGGACGAGGACACAACGCTCGTTGTCTGTCAACAGGGCGCCATTTAATGCCGTAACTTTGTGTAATTAAAAAAAGAACAAGCAACAAGGCGGGTTTCATATACACCTACACACGCTCACAGGCGCTTGAGGCATTAGTGTATATATATTATAGTTTTATATATGCCACACAAAAAAAGAAATAAGCAAAATTGTAATTTCCGCCCCAGCAACTAACTGAAACTGATGTTGAGCAGAAATTGAAATTTCCGTTGATGTTATTCGAGCTCTGAGGCGTCAGCATAATGATTTAAACGGCTTGACCACACTCTGTATAGGTGTAGGTGTGTGTGTGTGTTTGTGTGTGTGTGCGTGTGTTCGTGCGTGTGTGGCTGTTGAAATATGGCTTGTGCGGCAACGCTTGACGCTTGGGTGCTTCTGGGTTAAAAGGGTCACAGCATGTGGGAGCAAGTGCCGCATTTTATATACGACTGACAATACACATTCAATTGACAGCATGTATATATATATATATAGATAGGGTTGTTACAGTGCTGTCACGATGTAGTGGGAGCGCGGAGAGCGAACTTGGCAAAACAACAATTTAGTGCCTCGGCCTATTTCCGGTTTGATTGAAATTTATGCCTAAAATTAGGCAATGCTTTTCGGCCGCCTGGCAACTGCGCAAGATTTGGAGCACTGAGCGAAATCAGCTGCTAGTTTGTCTTTGGTCGTAACACACCCAGCGCTGCGTCTTGGGCCAGCCAATTGGCTAAGCAAACTAAACGCTTGCCGGCAATTTCCGTTTTTTTCAGCCAACCTGTGTGCCCATTCAATTATCAACTCTAATATTAAAGCAAAGATTCGCAGTCCGGTTTTAGCACGTGTCCGCCTTTCCGTCAGCCCGTCCAGGCAACTGCCCAGCCCACAGCCGGCACGGTTCATCAGCCCAATTTCAGTGTCCTTGAATACGTGCTCAACAGCGCCTTGAGTTGCGTGTAATTCATGTTTTTGAGGTGTGCCTTGCACTGGGCTTTAAGTTTCTCTTTTTTTTTTAACAGTATTTGTTATTGTTTGCCAAATCAATGGAGAGCTCAACGTTCAAGAATCCTCTGTCAGCGCATACTGCATCCGCCCAACAGTCTCGAGCCCGACTGTTGTTGACAAATCAGCTATGCAGTTGTAGGCCGTCAATTGCTTTCGAGAGCAGCAAAACAAAAAAAACAACAGCTTCTGCTAAATATATCTGTAGTAGGCTATCATTGCCTTAATATTTAATATTATTTACCTTTTAATGAGGTCAGCGATGACCGAATTACAAAAAATATAATAACTGAGGTGCATGTGGGTAAAGGGCACTGCAAATAGCCCGCTTTTTAAGTAAATAGCCAGATATAAAAGTAAATATTATTGTAACAGCGCGATAATTGCTTCCCATTTAATTGTGTAAGTTATTTAGGCTTACTTAATCCGAACTGCTGTTAATTTGGCTTATCATCGATTCTTATAGACAGTTTCACATGCCATTTAATAAATCTTTGCGTATAATTGTGGCTTAACGAATTTTAATATTCTTTATCTTATTATATGGAAGCTTATACGCTTATCTGATTCCAAGCGAGCTCAGCTACCTGTTAGGCATTAAGTTCAGAAATCTCTATGATTACTATTTCAAATATTACTACAGCTTTCTCTGTTAGCGAAGCTCAAGCATTGCTATGCCTGTATCAAATCCGAAAGAACTTCTATATAATCGAAGCTAGCTCATTTCTAAGCCTTCATCAAAGTGTCATCACTATTATTATCGAAGGCATTCATCTCTTATCTGTTAACTTGCAGTGTTATCGCTGTTTTTCTATCGCTTTCTATATCGCTTGCTCATCTTTTGCAATATCAGCTTCAGACGCTGCACTTATCGATCATATGGCCACTGCTTGGGGCGCCGATGCCAACATTAGTTCATTGAACTGCTATGCGGCTGGACAAGCAGCACAATGACGGCGGCAATGGGAATGCTCTGCTCCACACCAAATCCAACTTCTCCCACGTGTGCCACGATTTTTAATTAGACAGCGAACACATTTTGTGGGCCAACACCGTTACGCACAGCACTCTGCGCTTACTAAGCTTATGTGTGGTTGTGTGTGTGTGTGTACTTTGACCTCTTTGGTCAATGTCAGTGCTATTGGGACTCGGCTCTTGGACTTGGTCTTGGCGTTGGTCTTGGACTTGGACTGGGTCTGTCTCTCAGATTAAATTTCTTTGCATGCGCAGGCAGGTTTTTCCACACACACTTGCTGGCATCAACGTTTCCACGACTCGTTTTTCACAGTTCTTTGCGGCTTTTTCAATTAAAGCTTGTTGCATGCCACCAGCGCCGCCGTCGGCGTCGTCGACGTCGTTTACGTGTCGCTCTTCACGAGCCAGCTGAGCACCGCTGTACGCCCCTCCCGCCTTGTGCCCTGGCTTTCTTTTGTGCGCTTTGTGGCTGCCTTTCGTGTCGCTGCTTCTGCCTCTGCCTCTGGTTCAGTTGCTGCCTCTGCCACAGCCGCTGTCGCTGTCGCTGCCGCTGTCGACGTTGACTGACGCTGCATAAAGTCTTTCACTTCTTTGGCATCCAAGTTTAGTTCAGTTCCAGCCGGCGTACGTAGCGCACGCGTCTTGCTAGATCGATCCGACACAACGGGACATCGAAAATAATCGAGTTAGCAGCGATAAACGATAAGCGAGCATATAGAACGCGCCGCGCGCTCACTCTCTCCCCCCTTCTCTCTTACTCTCTGTGTGTGTGTGCGTGTGTGCGTGGCTCTCGTGCATTCTCTGTCATACTCTTTCACTCTCTCACTTCTCTCACGGCCGTTCGATTTCTTTGCGCATGCGCGCAGCGACTCGAAGACAAACACACGCATGCGCTGTCTCCGTCTCTGTCAGCGTCTTCGTCAGCGACTCCGCGCAAAAGTGAAAATATTTGGAGAAATTTCTTGAGCAGAATTTCAGTTGCCAGTTTTTTGTGTGTCACAGCTTTAAAAAAAAATTAAAAAAACAACAACAAAATCGATAACCAATAAAAGGAGAAATAAATTAGCACGCCTTCATTCAAAGCTCCATGATTGACCCGCCCTGCTATCGAAATCGAATTCAAATCCGAAACACTTTGCAGCAATTAGCCCAAAACGAAAGTGTTCGCAAATGTCATTGACCCAGATCTGAATCGAAATTTGG